TGGATGGATGGATGGATGGATGGATGGATGGATGGATGGATGGATGGATGGATGGATGGATGGATGGATGGATGGATGGATGGAAAAAGAGATCCTTTTCCGTTCTATTTTTCATACTTATCTATGCTTAGATAATGAACTGCTAAATTGTTCTAATTAAACACTAAAGAATGAACCCTGATCATTCATCAGAATGACGATTTATAGTTTTCTGGCTTCCAATCAGATCCATCCTAAGTCTCTTTCTGTTTTTAACCAGCCCCAGCCCCCTATGTTGGAACCGTTTGATGTGGGTGGCTGCAGCATTAAGCATGCAGCTCATTATCCTCAGTTCAGCTTGTTCAAGCCCCAGGATTGACCAAAAAAGTCGGACCCCCAGTTCATCTCCCCATGAGACTGGGTAACAATTACAAGGTGGCCAGAAGTGGGCGATTATTATGCATTGGTGTCATGCTTTATGGTCCTGCCCAGCAGCGACGTATTTCACACTTCATCATGTCAGGTAAAGCAGTATTTCACACCACTTGCACTTGCAGGGAGAGACGTGCAGATGAAAGTTAATGGGGTTTACCTGTGATTAGTCACTGGTAACAGACAGGATTGAGACAAGCGGTTACAACACAAGCTTATGAATGAGCTCTGTACAGGCTGCTGGCAGAGGAGAAGTTCCATATCATCTTCAGATGTTAAAAAACCCAAACTGAGTTCCTTCAATTATCAATAATAACCTGAAACCAAACCCCACTTTCCACTTGGTATTTCATGTCATTGCATCATCTATTTCTCTGATATTTTGGTCATATTGCAAGAGTCATGCATGAATGCATGGCACTAGGCATTGTTAAACTTTTTTACCGCTAAGTTGTACAAGTTAGGCATAATAATGTGACCAAGTGATTAACATTTTGCTTTGGTTACTGTTTGGGATATATCACGGAAGATGTGAATGTTTTTAACCTAAAGTATTGTTGAAAATTCTCAAAACTTCTAATTGATATAACTTATATTGATAAATGATGATGCTGGTTGTAAATAACTAAATATCCTTCACTATTTTCCTTCAGCTGTGGCATATTTTATTCATAATCTACTTCAGGTCAAAGCGTAAAGGACAGCACGACTACATACACATGTTCAGGCATATAGCACAGACATATAGAGAACCTATGACACTTATTGCGGACTTGACTTATAGCTGACAAATATTGCATTCAAAGAGTCTTTTCTTGTTGTCATATTGCAAACCCTGACACAGTGCTTTTAATTGCATTAGAAAGAGACCAAAAAATTGGCAAACATAAGGATTTGAGTAAGTATGTAAACCAGTGAAGTTGTGACACTAAAGAGCCAGGAATGGCCCAGAATGTTTTAAATAGGGTGGGCTACTGGTAGTGACAAAATAAAATGATTATATATATATATATATATATATATATATATATATATATACACACAATTTCATAAATAGCCAGGACAGGTAATCCTTAAAACATTGAAAATAATTTATTTATTTGCAACGTATTAATCTCTTACATCTTAGACTTGGATGCATAAAATCATGCTGCCTCTCTAGGTAGGGACCTTATTTAAAGGGTAGGTCACTCCTGTCCCTGTAGCTCCCAGTTAATGACACCATTGGTCTTTTATGGAGTGTTAATGCTTTTTTCCATAATTAAAAAAATGTACCCCAGAGAGACAACAGTGTTGAATCTGGAAAGTGCATGGTCCAATTTAACAGATGAACTTCTTTTGATTGAATGCTGATACTGGCAGAGCTGTCAGAATAATCAGTAGATAACTGTTTTATGTGGGACTTCATAGGCCAATCATGCTGGTCATAATAGTATGTTTAATTCATGGTATTTTTGTCACATTCTCACTCAAAAGAAGTGATTTTTTTTTTTTTTTTTTTTTTGCCAGGTAAGGTTTTAAATATTTAGAAGTACCCTTTTTTATATGGTAACTGAAAACATTTTTATTACTAAACAGGTGGACAAATGCCCTGATTCACTTCAAGCATTTTAATGTATAATTTCCTTTAAGTGGTACTAAGAAACTTGTTTCTTTTATCTAATTGATCATTTTCTCTTTTTTCTGTCTGCCAACCTAGTGAAGCAGAAAAGAGAGCAGGAAGCACCATGCGTCGAGGCTTTCTTTCTTCAGTGTTTCCATCCAGACTCTCACCTGTGATATTGGGCTTGCAGGAACTGAAATTCCTCTTTGATCCGATCACAGGACTCGGTGACGGTGAACTTGAACGGCTGCCCCGGCTGGTGTGGCACCTCAACCCAAAATCAAAGAGCGTGCGAGGAAGATGAGGAGGGAGAGAGCAAGAACTGAGCCACCAAAGTTCAGTGTCATGACACAACGTTACAGGAATGAAGCTTGTTTTACAATGGACCTCTGTGATCGCACTCAGTCCCCTCTCAGTCTATCCGAGCGCACAACTCTCACACAGACACAGCCAGCTGCATGCGGTAATGTTGACAATGAGCTGAATTGTTAAGGGGTCCGCGCAATGGCACGGAAACTGGATATAAACTGATTACGCATCAGGCGCGCGGCAGTTAATCTACGCTGTTTTGACACATTCTTCATTTTTCTGCTTCTACCTACTTACCGGATGCCGTGCCGGCGGGTACATCTTGCTTAGATCTCGAATCATTTCAAGGGCTTTGTAAAGTTCATCCACAAAAAGAAATAAAGAAATGAGCGAGGTCCCCGTGCGTAAAAGGTCAGTCAGTATCCGCTCAGCGAACTGAGAGCGGCTTATGTAAAAAGTAGAAACATCCTTTGACAACAAAAACAAGGCTGACCATTAATTTTCTTTCTCCTCTGTCCATGCAACTCGATGTAAGCCCTTTAAACTAACAAAAGTCTTAAATTCCCCTACGGAGCATCAACTTTTGCGCATCGTGGCACAGCTCATCTCACTGCGCATCTCAGGTTCCTCTCCGTTGTCGCGCATGAATCAGTTTATCTCCTCCAGCCTCCTTTTACGCTTCACATCCAAGCGAGAGACCACCTCACCAACCAACCGTGCCAGCCTTGCCCCTGTCTGTGACGTTAAATTTAGCAGCAACCAGTCTTGAGGGCGCAATTACATATTCACAACATTTAGAGGGGCCCCGCACACCGTGACGTCGGGACGTGTAGTTTAATTCCTATTAGCCAATAATAAGCCTTACAGATGTGCATCTGCCGTAAAGAACTACAACTTCCCGGCTCCTTCTCAAAGCCCCCCACGTCCACCACCGCTCTCATCCAACCCCTTCGTATACTCCCCACCTCCCATAAAGCCAATGGTGTGTGGTCTGAAGGAGGAGCGGTGATTAAACACAGCCAATGAGGAGAAAAAAGTGAGCACTGTGCAGCATCCTGCCGTCTGTTATCCGCAAACGGTCCAATCACATCCCGACATCAGGCTATTTATGCAGACCCCCACGTGGGGGTCTCATTCTGGAAAACAGGGCTGTGACATTGATTACACTGAAATCTCTCGCTTATCTGATTTTATTGATAGCATAAATCAGAGATGACCATATGGCCTGAAGATGCCTGATGGTGCTTTTTTTGCCACTGTTGTTTAGCTGTTTAATTACTTGGTGTTCACAGATTAAACATGTAATCTGTCAATTGTTCCATCATTCTCAGTCTGCTTGACTAGTTTAAACCATGTGCAAAAATGCACTCAAATTCAATAGATTGCTGAGGCTTTAGGATACATGGTGAACAATTTACACTGTAAGAAATACAGACATCAAATCAGCACCGTTCACATTCTGAAAAACTAGTGTTTCATGCTTAGAATATGGAAGATAGATGTTCAACTGAGCAAAAGATACATATAGTTAACAATTATTCTTTTACTTTAGAATATATCAGTTTCCAACATTTTGCAAAAATATATATTCTGCTTAATTCCCATAACATTTTGTCACAATATATCTATAAACTTTATTGTATTTAATTTGGATCTTATGGGACAGATTAATAAGAATTAGGTCATAACATGGGAGGTTTCACGTTTTAAAATTCCCGATGACATTCTGAAAGGTTTGCATTTATTCCAAGGCATTATAGATCCGCCGTTCATTGTACTTAGAACTCCCAGCCTTTAGTTCTGGGCTTTGACTAAACATTTCAAATATGTTTGTCATGTTTGCCTTAAGGTTCCTAACCCACATTCAGAACACACTGAGGCTGGAGAAAGGTTCAAAGATTTATTGAAATGATTCTGTACAAAGAATAAACAGATCCAGGGGTTATTCAGATCCAGAACTGGTCACTAGTGGGTTCACTGCAGAGGGGGACAGAGGAGTTAGTGGATGTCCAGGCAATTTGCAGGATGTGAGTGAGCAGGACAGTACCTGTTCTGGAGTTTGAGCTGAGCGGCAGAGGGGGGGAACCTGGAGGGTCCAGAGGCTGTCGGCAGGCTGAGGGCTTGGTGGAGGCAGAGCTAAGTTTGAGTGTTTGCAGATCACAGATTTGAGTTTCCCTTCCAGATTCTTCAGAGAGCGGGCAGGCAGGTCTTTGACAGGACTTATTCTCCAGGGTTCTTCAGAGATCAGACAGGCAGATTACCAACAGAGAAACTCATCTGGGTTTCCGGTTCCAGGCAGATTCAATCTAGGAAGCAGAAAGGAGAAAACTGATCAGGTTCAGGTTTTCAGGGAGTCAGAGATTCAGACAGGCAGGTTGGCTCAGGCTTTGCTAACCGTAACTGGCAAACACTCTGGCACTGGAGAGACGTCCTCTGCCTCCTTAAATACTGATCTCCTGATGAGCAGACGAGCGACAGGTGGTGCAATCAGCTCCGGCTCCAGGAAATCTAGTACGCCCTCTGGTGGAGAAAGTGGACAGACCTCCAGATCCCAACAATGTTGATGTTTTTGGATCCAAACCATTTCATTGTTGTCTTACTAAATGCAGTTTCATATTTTAATAAGCTGTTCGAATGTCAAATTTTGCCTCTGGAATATTCGGTCTTGGATTTTCTGGTCATTACACGTTTGTTGAAATGCTATAAGATGAATCTCAACATATGTCTGCTTAGGATCATACAGTAATCCTCTTGGCAAACATTTGTCCTCGCAAGTCTTCAGCAGGTTTTCTTCTAGGGTTTTCTGATTTTACTGCCATCAAGCAAGTACTGTAGTCCAAAAAGTTTCATTTTCATCTTGTGTGACCGAGGTACTTTAATTTGCTTGTTGTTGGGTGCCTGTGAGGAGCAGGGAAACGATAACTTGATTTTAAACTAAATGTAGTACCCAATTTAGTTTAGTTATGGTAAACAGAATACAATCATCTGGGAGGGTGTTTTAAATTGTAGAGATGATTCAGCTCTAAAAGGTAAACCATTCATACTGATTTTGGACTTATGAGACTGACTGGTTTATAACCTATCTCAGTCAGCCTACATTTGTTTCTAAACAACCTATTAAAGTGAATGCTGAGCAGATTTACGTAGTGAGATCACACATCTTGCCTTAAAACAGCCAAAGCAACACAAGGAGGCACCATCATCACAAGTATGTTAAAAAATATGCCCCCATTAATCTTTACTAAATGATTGTTGATTAATCTGTTCTTTTCCGGGATGTTGGCCGTTCTGCACGGAATATGAACACAAATACTGTACCATATCTTTTTTTTGGCCTTCTCTTTTCTGCTGTTTTAGTTTATTTGTCTACCATCACAGTATAATGGTAGAAATAAGGCAACATAAAAAAACCTAATGCTAAAATCCACAAAAGTAGAGTTTTGGTTGTTATCCTTAAGAATTTGATCTAGAATTGGATATTTATTATCATTTTAATTTTTATTAAATATACAAATTAAGTTACACATGCTTTTCAGTATTTCTCTTAGGCTGCGATAAAACAATTTTTCAAAAAACATTGATCAGTTTTAAAGTCACATCCACTCTTATTTTTCTATTTATGATCTTCCTTTTATCATCATGTATAGAAAAAGAAAGAATGCATGAATGTGGTTGAGAAGGTGCACCGTATTGGGAGGCCTTGATGTTGTTGTCCCAGGTTCATTCAATCTGTATGCCTTTCAATGCATGTATTGTACATGCATGAAATGAATATCTTCTACATGCATTTTATGCATGTAATGTTCTCTGCTATTATAGTTATGTGGTATTGAACAGGATTTATTCTGCAACCCAGGGGTTGAGGCCTTGATAAACTTTTCAGACAACACAAGGCCCAATGGTTGTGTTTGAGACTATTGTGGTTGCTTGGAAAACGTGGTTTTGTTTCTATATCTATTTAAAGAAAGTGCTTTTCTCTGTGTATCATTCCTTCAGGTCTATGAGGTCTGCTAGTGCCATTTATTCATATATATGCTGCAGTATATGTAGGAAGATGTATGTACAATATGTTGAAAAAACATGATTTTTTTTTCTCCAATCAGGATTTATTTAATGACACCCATTATCCACCAAAATGTATTCTTCCAATATTTCCTTGGCTTGTCCAGATCCTAGGCAGCCCTCTCCAAACAAGCTTTAACATGCTTTCTCTTCAGTCATGGAGTCTTGTGCAGTGAGTTCATGAAGAGCTTTGAGGTTGAGTTACCAGATTTTCTTTTTCTTTTAAAAAAAAATGCTTCTGTTATTCATTTCTGAAGCTAATTGTTTGTCCTTGGAGACAGCTATTTTAAATTATCTCTGGCTTTTCTGTCATAATGCAGGGCAAACCTCACCGTGTTCCAACTGGTTTTCCAACCAATTGGAACATTTAGAAGTTTAGAAATTGAGCTATAATTGTTACCATTAGTACGTTTTTTCAGAGTGAGGCTTTTTGTGTAAAGGGAACCTAACCATTCATGCTCCTTTGTTTAACACTTTAACTTAATGACAGTCTTTTTTTATAGGCCATCACAGCAAATAATAAGCCAGCTGATTTCAAGTTGCACATCACAGCTGTAATGCTTAATAAATACTGATCGGTTTTGACTTGTTTCTGTACCATCCTACTTCATTAGACATAATCAGCTTCATGAACTAAGTTGTGTCTAAATTTGTGACAATAATCTGCAGTTTTGCACTGCAGATTACTTAGGTTGTGACTGATATCTCATGTAAATTCATGTTTATCAAAATGCCAAAAAAAATATTTACTAGGAAAATGTTGAAACATATAACAAATCTATAATATTTTGATTAGAACATTTCTACCTGTGACATTGGGTGAATTTAAGGTGTCTTTAAGTGACCAGTTAGATGCATAGAACCACTTCCTATTCAGTTGTCTGGGGAAGCAAATTAACCTAAATGTTGCACAGTATCTTGTTGGTTGAAATTAAACCTACTTTGAGTGGATGTTGACATTGTGAGTCTGACCTTTTAATTACACTTCAGAAAATAATATGCAGTTTCGTTATGCTGTAATTTTGGTCACAGAAAAAACAGAAAAGTTCTTCTGTAGTACATTTGGAAAATATACTAGTGTGTCTAAAACGTTATTCACAGGGACTGATGTGTGTATTTGCATTAAATTGTTTTTTGTAGAAGTCTGTGTAAACACAATATGTTAAGAACAACCATGTTTTTAAAATACAAGATGGAGAAGCAAGAATCGAAATACACTTTACTGCACATTTTGTAGTGATTTGCCTTTCGAGTGCCACAATCCAATTAGGGTTGCTGAGTAAGGTAAAATATTACAACCAGGATACTTACAGCTTCCTCATTCACTTGCAGGAAGTGAGTGTATCTAGTAAGTCCGTCTGCATTTGTGGCTTTTAGTTTTTGCTCAGTGTGTGGAGATGAAAGACAGTGTTGCTGGGTCAGCAGGTCTCATAAATGCTACCATCAGTCATTTACAAGAACTAAACAAGTGTAAAAAAATAACTTAGATCTTCTTTTTCTTCACTGAACTGTTTTTCTTAGCCTGAATAAATTTCATATAAAACTAGACTTCTAAATCTGCTGAATGCTATGTTTCTCCTTTTTTTCTTGCATCCACACAAGCATACAAATGGTAATCCACAATATGACTCCACATCAATCCTGCTTCTACCTCTCTGTCCTTTCTGTTGTCTCTGCCTCTCCCTCATACATACACAGCATTGTACACACATACACACAGCGCTGCAGCCATTCAAATACACATCTCTATCTACCACTCATACAAACTAATATCTCAGGTAAGCACAGGGCCTAAAGTGACCTGCTGTCGCGGTGCGTGAATCCACTAAGGCTGCGAAAAGG